CATCAGATTTAACTAGTGGGGTCAAAAACAACTCAACAACGCATGGGTTTCACCAAACCTGGTGTAAATTTTACTTGGGTGTGTTTCCAGATGATTAACTTTTGGAGCTGAGCAGTCCCAAACTTGGTGGTGGCAGAATTTGGGGCAACAACTATGTGAGTTTATGCTGAATCCTGCCTACCAAGGACTGGAGCATGTTTATGGATGTTTTAACAGCCATCACACTGGTTGGAGTGCTGTTCCTCTTTTAGCAAATAAGTTCCTAGATTTAACAGAACAAAACTGTAACACTCAAAATATAATGAGTCAGAGCGGAATGAACTGATAACAGAATGAATATGAAGAGGTGAAAAGGCTGCATGTTAAATTAAACAGCATTTGAAGACAGATATATTTACAAAGCTCCAAATGGTGATAAGTCTTGAGCAGTAGTCAATAGAGGTGAGAGACGGTGACCTGCGGAGATCCATTAAACTGCTCCGTGCCAACCTGTCCCAACCTGTCCCAACCCTCGAACAGACAAGTTGAGGCTCTCGCTCCCGAAGCTGTTAGCTCCGTCTAATTAAAAACATTCATCCGCTCGCTGTGCCCTCCAAGGTCAATAGTCCAGACCTCTGAACCGGCCCTCGCAGCAGCACAAGGCCTTTCATTAGATTAAACACATTAATGAGAAAATCTTTTATCTTTGTATATAATTAAAAGTGGGATGAAGGACAACTTAATCAATGATGTGGAATGACGGGTTCGTAAATGAATTAGACCTGCCAATGGGGGGGGGGGCTGGCATGCAATCGATGACAAATGTTAAACAGAGACTGAATGGATTGTCGTCACAGCAACAGGCACCTATGTGTCCGAACAAGCAAATCTGATGCACAGACTGAGATGCAGCTGATCAACATATGTGACTGTTTCTGTGCACGCCATCAAGTTGGCAACTGTAACGTCCATTTTTAATTGTGCATTGATTGAATTTGTGCACCTGATCTACAGCTGATTCTGATAATGAGGAGGGTTTTTTTTTTTTACTCCTTTTTCTTTTTGGATGACCTCCATGATCCCAGTTACTCAGGCACATCTGGATGGCTTATTTAATAGCACCATTCAGCCATAGGAGGGCAGTGTTGTCCTTTTAATTAGCCTCCAGGCTTTCTGTGAGTTTATTAGATGGCAGAGGGGTAGAGACGGGACGGATGGAGACTGTGTGACTGCTGTGTCTTACAAAACATCAATTAAAAACTATTTTATTTGGATAAAAGCAAATAGATTATACTGTGTTGTTCTTGGGAGGGATAATCTCAGTGACATGCAAATAATCTGATGCAAAAACAAGTTCTACTTCCAATCATGGCACCTCAAATCTTT